ATGGTGTGCTGTGCTATTTTGTTTATTTTTATATTGCATGTTAGCAGATTTTAATTATTTTAACTCTATTGATTGTTCCCCTGAGTTTCATCATGGGGGGGAAAGATGGAATGTAAATTAATAAAATGATAATAGTAGCAACAACAACATAGCTTTTAAAATTTGAATATAAAATGAAAATCAAGTTTCTAGCCCCCCATGATGGAAGAAATGGGGAAAGATGGGAGCATCCACTGATTTTGCTATCCACGAAGGGTTCAGGAACCAAACCTCAGTGAATACCAAGGGCCCACTGTATGTTGTTAGCCACATTGGGTCTTATTATTAAAAGAAAGGCAGGATATAAATTAATAATAATAACAATAATTAAATGATAATGATGATGATACTGGGTTGAGGAAGCCTGGCTTCAAGTCTCTCACAGCTACAAAACCTAGTGTCCTACTGTCACTTCAGCTTTCTAGTCATTACAGAATTACAGACTACACCTTCAGTCATTGTCTATGTCATTTCCACATCCAAATATGTGTGCATTGAAAGAAATGCACATGAAAATATGTGAAGTATGTCCTGGCAACTGCTGTTGAAATGGGACAAAAGTGAATTTAAGGAAAGAAAAATGAGAAACTGGTTGAAGCAAAGAGATATTTCCATTGCTATGCACAGTCACTGGCAGCTGGTAGGGCACTGAATCCACTGCAGGCTCTAGCCTGAACTTTAAACAAGCTATCCAAGGTGCAGAGCCCTATCTCCCAAATCAGATCCTTAGGTTTGAACTAAAAACCAGATCACAATTCACCACCCTGTTGAAACAAGATTCTTCTGACCATCTACACAGTTTCTGTGCAAGAACTGGGGAAGAGATAGGAAGCTGTTGATGTTGTTAACTTCCTTTGAGTCAACCCTGACTCATGGCAAACCCATGGATGAAACATCTCCAAGACCCCCTATCCTCTACTGCTCAGGTCCTGCAGACTCAGTCTATTCTAGTCTGATTGAGTCTATCCATCTGGTGTGCAGTCTCCCTCTCCTTCTGCTGCCTTCCACCTTCCCCAGCATCATTGTCTTTTCTAATGATTAGTCATGCCTTCCCATGATATGGCCAGAGTATGACAGCCTCAGTTCTGTCATCTTAGCTTCCAGGCTTAATCTATTCGAGGACCATTTATTTGTCTTTTTGGCTGTCCACAGTATCCTCAGCAGTCTTCTCCAACACCACATCTCAAATGATTTTTCTTCCTGTCTGCCTTCTTCACTGTCCAGTTCTCACATCCGTACATAGTAATGGGGAATACAATGGCTTGGGCAATTCTAACTTTAGGGTTCCATTGTATATCTTTGCACTTTAGGATCTTATCTAGTTCTTTCAAAGCTCTACTGTGCCTCAGTCAACAAAATATCTTGGGCCATCCAAGACAGACAGGAAGGATCTTGGTATCTGGATTCCTCACCATGGATTATCTGATGGAGGGGGGCATCGGTAAGAAATATGATCTAAGGGTGAGTACCATGAAACAGAAGGTGAAATGTTGAAACTATTATTTCTCCAAGGACCTTCCCTGGAAACTCTTACATTAAAAAGATTG